GCTCAGTATGACACGAATGAGGGTTTCTAGACCGGCAAATTCAAATTAGAACATTTTACACTTTATGTGACATTATTAAAATACATTTCTTCAAAGAAAAGGGTGGAAGGTGGACTGTTAAGCAGACACCTACAGTACCCCCTTAGTCCGCGTCCACCCCATTAGTCAGCCCTCACCAGTGAAAATAAGCACAAAAGATCAAGGTCAAACAGACTGAATTTACCTAATAACGCTATAATTTGCGTGAGCAATAATTGTTGTATTTGAATGGATGCTAAATAAATAAATGAAAAAAAGAAATTAAATGAGCGGTCCCCCTTCATCGGGCATTTACCCCCATCCCATCACTCACCTTGGGATGCCCTTATCTCCAGAGGCAATTTGGCTTCAAATTTAGGATGGAGTCAAAATGTTTTTTAAAAAAAATATAAAAAAATAAAAACAGAAGAGAAAGTCTCGGATAAAAAATTATTCCTAGAATAATTGACCTCAAAATAAAAGGGCGTCGAGGTCCTCCCCGGAAAAATGTTGTTACCTAAATGGCGAGAAATGAGATTTCCCGACTTTTGAGGTGTATTTTAATGACATTTAAGTTTTATAAAGTTCAAGATTTTCCCTCCCTTGAAAACAGTCATGTCAACTTTGTCATTCTTATTACAGTAAACAGGCCTATGTGACATGTTTGTATAAAAAAAAATTAGTAGTTGCATACGTAGGCCTATTTTGTTTTCCATGAACCGATGAACCCCAAATAGGACGGTGGTGGGAAAATGTTGATTCCTATATGTCGGAAAACGGGTTTTCTGAACTTCTGAAATTTTGGTTTCCCTCTCTTGACGTTTTTTAATGAATCGATGAACCCTAAAGAGGGGGAGAGGCGCGGAATCATGTTAGCCCCTGGAAAATTTTGATTCCTAGATTGCGGGAAGTGAGCTTTTCAGACTTCTGAAGTATCTTTTAATGACCTTTAATAAAAACAAAATCAAGGTTTACCCTATTGAAAACGGTCAGGTAAATTTTCTGATTTTTAATACTGTGGTAAAGAGGCCTATTGTGTGTGTAGAGATATAAATATGATTAATTGCTTACGCATTCTTTTTTTTTCTTTTCTTTTTTTTTTTCTTTTTTTTAAAATTTTGATTGAGCATTTCCGACATTTAATTGTCCAATTGTAACACAAACTTCAATAATCAGCTTACGGGTCCTGGAAAAGTAAGTCTAGAATTATTTTTTTAATATTTATTTAATGTTTTTGTTCAAGGAGGTGTGGTCAGGACCCTGACCCCTCCAGATCCACCAATGATCTCCCTCCCCAATTCACTCCTAGATATGACACTGGAAATCGAGTGTACTTGTTTTTACATTTGGCACCCAATGGCTGCAGGGATGATTTTATCGGTATACCTTAATTTAAAAACGGCGCTTTTGTAGGGGGGTGGGGGTATATTAAATCACTTGCTAAATGCAGGGTGGCAGATATTGGCAGCTAAACTTGGCATTAACGTAAAGCTTAGGCTCTGCCAGAAATGTTGATATCAAAAGCATGACGAAAATCGCCGGCAATTCTAACTTTTAAGTTGGTTTTATGAAAAAAAATGTTTTTTTTTTAGCGTTTTTGGCTCATATTTAGTGTCCTTTATTCTAAAAATATACCAATAATGTAAATTTTTATTTTACTATCTAATTTAGTTAACAATAGGTAAATACTGCAAGAAGTATCAAGTTGACTGCTTTCATCGAAGTAAAGTCATAGGGAGTTTTTCAAAACTGTCAATTTTATCATTTTACGAGTAAAATACAACTTTTTCATGTTTACATGGTTATATCACACTATGAAAATTCACTAAATATGAAATTATTGGTGGATTAATATAATTTAGGATGTTGTCGACCTCAAACAACCTTTAAAAGTTGAAGTTGTCACATTACCTATTTTCGACTTTTGGCACACTTGGAATTGATTCTGGCCCACTGTGCGACGGCTGTTCACAACTAATGTGCAACTACGTACCTTGATTTTGAGAAGCTGAGTTGTGGGGGCGCAGTTCATTATTGTGAAACAGTTTTCATTGGCCATTTTGTTTGCAGTGATTGTATAAAAGTGTTTTAAAATGAGCGAGTGCCACTGTAAAGTGTTCTCGCAAGCGCGTTTTAAAGTAGACCTATTATTAAATAATGGTTAGGCTAGGAATATAATAATAAATAATGTGATTAAAACATAATGGTTTAGCGCTCGATTACTTCTTGTATTTTCCTTGTGTGCAGCGAAGTTCATTGAAATTATACGTGCGTGCTTGTTAGCTGGTAACCAATCATACAATGTATTGGCGGTCGTACAGGGTGGCCCCCGGTGGTCCGTGCCTCCCAACAATTTTAATGGGTGGTGGGTCAACCCTCATGTAGGCCCCACCAATAAATTGCCAAAAAGTTGATTTTTACAAAACAACAGGCAAGTTGGTTTGGAGATTATATTCTGAACAATTGCTAACGTGTCCCAATGCCAAAAACGGGGTGTATTCAGTGACCCCATTGCCTCAGCCTCGTATTCTTCTTCCCTCGCAAAGTGCATACCGGGCCCACCCAACGTTCAATCCGTGTCGTCGCCTGTGATAAGATCTTATGATATTTTATTTAATATGGGTGGATGGGGTGGCAGAGTATTATAGGAGCGGGCTCACCCGTTCGTGACAATAGCAAAAAAAAATCACTACTAACCAAATATGACAACGTGTTTAAATAAGATTTGGCTAAAGTTGCTAAAGTTCTGGAGCTTTCAGAGAGCTCCTCCTGGATCCCTGCGCAATAAGAGAAGCGACCACCACCACTAACCCTTCTGACGCGGCCAATAGGTCATCAATTGGCGCTCCGTCCCATCGGCAAAAAATAATAAATATGCCAATGTAATATTCTATAGGTCTCATATCCACTTTTCAACTTTATTCAATTCATATAGACATTTTATTACCTTTCAATGAAAACACGATAAATCCAGTAATGATGAAAAGTATATTAATAATAAGTTACATTAAAAAAACAACAGAGAAAAAGAAATCATCCTACACAAAATATAACAGCACCATATATTTTGAGTCAGAAATTTAACTGATTTTTAAAAAAAATATAAAAAACCTCGAAGAGGTCAGATTAGCATATAATTAGTATGTATTTTTAATGCCTAATCAACCAAATAAAGTCATTGGTATTGATTTAAAAATTAAATAAAAAAAAATAAAAAAAAAACTAAAAAAAAAAAAAAATCAACGGATCAATACTAGGCCTAGTTAGCAAATCTCGGATCTGGGCTCCAATTTCCTGTATATTCTCTTCGTTTGCCCACAAAACGAGCGGACTGAAACCGAATATTTTCCCCTATTTTTGGATAGGGACGTTACTGCGTCATCGCCCTGACAACGCTTAGCGCGTATAAATGCACAGTGTACCAATCACTACACGACGCATTTGTTCCAACAATCGATATATCGCGTCAATGGTTATTCAGGTTTGTTATTATTTCACTTTTTTATTTGGGCATATTGGAATCAAACAGTCCTTTCACTTTGGGAAAGAAAACGCAAATAGGTGAGCATACAGTTCTTTCTTTTTGATTTTTGATACTGTCTTGAATACTAAGCCTTAGCCCTAGGGCTAGGCCTAGGCCTATCTAGGTTTATATATTCGAGGGGTTCTTATGGGAAATTATTTTAATAATTAAAAATTCAAGAGGCACTTTTTGAATGAAAAAAAGATTATATAAGGACATTACGAATGGTGGTTAGAAAAGATAATTGTCCAGAGAACATCGCTCATAACAAGAATGCGTGAATATTTACATAACAGCAAAATAGCAGATGCAACTAGTGGTGGGTAGTGGTTAGCTTGTTGGCCATCGGCCGATTGAGATTAGCAGGATGGCAGGATCATTGTGTTTTTCTTGATGAGAATGTGCTTAAGGTCGAAAAAAGAAAAAGATGAGTAGGACTAGACACTGTCTCTTATACACATCTAGATGTGTATAAGAGACAGTAAAGGCACAGTGTACCAATCACTACACGACGCATTTGTTCCAACAATCGATATATCGCGTCAATGGTTATTCAGGTTTGTTATTATTTCACTTTTTTATTTGGGCATATTGGAATCAAACAGTCCTTTCACTTTGGGAAAGAAAACGCAAATAGGTGAGCATACAGTTCTTTCTTTTTGATTTTTGATACTGTCATGAATACTAAGCCTTAGCCCTAGGGCTAGGCCTATCTAGGTTTATATATTTGCCCTTAGCCTAATGCGTTAGAATATTATGCTTCTTCGTATTTTTTTTCTCTTTTGTGAATAACATGTAATAATCATATTATACCTTCTTCGTAGTTTATTTGTTTTTAAATTTATAGAAAATAATGTGTGGACATTTAATTATCAACAATTTATTTTTCTGATAACTTGTTTTTCGCTGAATATTTTACATATGATATTGAATGATGGCAGTTTACTGATAACTAATATTTGTGTGTGAATTATTTGTAATCGTTGGATTTTAAGTGTTCACGCGCCAGTGGCGTAACTAGGTTGTGAGGGATCCTGGTTCAAGGGTACAGTTGGGATTGACTTGCCATGTCAGCTAAGATGGGTACCATCGATGGGTTAGCTTAAAGCAAGGGTCCCAATATTTTTTCCCTCACACAGGAAAGAGACTTTCAGGGCATCGTGTTCTTCTGGTATAACTATAAAGCATTAGGCCGATACTCACAAAAATACCTTGTGCTAAAGAGTGGGCCCAGAAAAACACCCAGATTAAAAATGTTATATCCGGACACAGACGGTAGTAGCATGACTCAAAATAATGACCAATTTACAATTCGTAGGCCTACTTTAAAACAAGGTAGGTCTATTGCGAAATGATAATTTTTTTCAAAATTTAATCGCTTATTACTGCCATAACTAGATGGATTGAGTTTTTTATACCTCCATTGATAGATAAAGTGCAAGAAACAAAAAACACGTTATATAATACAAAATGACTATAGGCATTATATTTATACGAGTTGACGGGTATTGTAAAATGTAAAATGATGTAAGGCCAAATTAAATAAAACCTTGTGTTATGAATACGCTGTGCATTATTTAATACATTATAATACTGTACAATGAATAACTGCCTACTATAATTACCGTACTCGCTCGAATAAGCGCGCCCGGCCGGCGCTTAAAATATTTTTTGCACTTTTTGAGGGGCGCTTATTCAAACGTTTCGCTTATTTAAACGGGGCGCTTATGAAAACAGATTAGAAATTGTGGGGACGCTTATGGAAATAGATGAAAATCGAGGGGTTCTTATGGGAAATTATTTCAATAATTAAAAATTCAAGAGGCACTTTTTGAATGAAAAAAAGATTATATAAGGACATTACGAATGGTGGTTAGAAAAGATAATTGTCCAGAGAACATGGCTCATAACAAGAATGCGTGAATATTTACATAACAGCAAAATAGTAGATGCAACTAGTGGTGGGTAGTGGTTAGCTTGTTGGCCATCGGCCGATTGAGATTAGCAGGATGGCAGGATCATTGTGTTTTTCTTGATGAGAATGTGCTTAAGGTCGAAAAAAGAAAAAGATGAGTAGGACTAGACATAGACAAATATGTAAAAAGATTAAAGTTGGAAATATACTGTCTGTCCAGGGATCGGAGCTCTCATTTGTCCAAGAAAAATATCCTTATTTTGATATTGACCGAAGAAGAATGTGTTTCCACTCTACAGCTCAAATCATGCCAACAACCACAGTCCCAGGATTGATTGGATTATTGACTTGCTAAAAAGAAAATCTTATGAGGGGGCGCTTATTCAAACGGGGCGCTTATTCGCGCGAGTACGGTGGACGTTACGTGCAGGGTATCGTGAACTATAAACAATGCAAAATAAAAGATGTGCAAAATTTAAAAATAGGCCTACAAATTAATGAACACCATAGAGTTTCGAGTAACATACTACTGGTAAAATTTTAATTTTACTTATTTGCCCAACCTCCAAATTTTTATAAACATTTAATTGTTATTTTATATTTATACCTTTAAATATTTTAAAAATCGTCTAAATTACGAAAATTAAATATTGTCAAAAATTGAATTGTACATAGGAAATACAAAAACAAGCGCATGGTGGATTTTTGTTTAAATATATAACATAAAAAGACAATGTGATGCGAACATTAATAATATATTCATATAATTATTTTATAGGTATCCGTATAATATATTATTTAAAATGTTATATTATAATTGAGAAAAAGTGGTGCGTCCGGCCAACCGGTGCGGTTCCGACGGCCCTGATTTTCCCTCGCATGTATAACGGCGGACAAGATTTCAGTTAGAGGCAACAATGGCCCCCATGGTCTGTGAAAGCTACAGGGCCCCCGGCCCCGGTGTTACGCCACTCGCTGGAAGGTAGCAGATACAATAGTTCAATGTCACAGTAAAACATTGCTTTATTAGGTGTTTTTTTTTTATATAGATCGGGGGCCCCTGGAGCTCGGGGACCCAGGTTCACAGAACCTGTTGAACCTGCGGTAGTTACGCCACTGTCACGCGCACACATTATTATAGCAAGGAGGTAGATTATAGTGTCTAAAGTATAAAAAGTGCTTAGGAAAAGACATGGGCCAGGCCTAGCTGAAAACGGTAACACAAATTAAAACGATACGGATGGATAAATAAAATAATACAGTAGGCCCTATTCTAGGCCATACAGGCATTCTATTGGGCTAATTATTACATGTCACAGATTCTCAATAACTTTATTTAATTTTATGTTTATAAATTTGGTTTTGGTGATGACAAAATTTTAATGAAGATTTATTCCTACAGATAGGCCTGCACTTGATTCTCTTTTGACACTGATCGTACAGCAGCATGTCACCTATATTCGCGCGTTTAAGTGGAACTGCAGGCAGAAGGCTTGTGGCAGCAATGACAGTCGGCGGGAGTCTGATAGGGGCAGCGGCGTTTAGAGACTCCGCCTATGCCAAGGCCTTCAATCGTAAGCTCTACCCTGCCTCTTGTGATTTCCCTGAGATTAAAAATCACAATAACTTGATGGCGCATTATTTAACGCCAAGTTTGTACGCGAAGTTGAAGGACCGCAGTACACCTAGCGGCTACACACTTGACGATTGTATACAGACAGGCGTTGATAACCCTGGTCATCCTTTTATTGAAACAGTTGGAATGGTCGCTGGTGATGAGGAATCGTATGAGGTATGCTTATCGAAAGCCATGAAACTAAGATCTAAGATCAAGTGATTTTGTAAGACACAGTTATTTAAATTAATATTTAAATACATTCTTTTACGTACCCTATAACATATTTTGAATTTCTCCAAAGTAATTAACTTTTATTAGGGTATCAATTTACTTTGGAAAACTACACTTACAGGAGTACAAGTTTAAGTGATTACTTTTACTTGTTTTAATTTGGTGAATATTAGAAGTTACGGTACATCTTTACATCCATTGTAGGCGCTATAATACACTCTCAAGTAAAAATAAGTCGTTATAACATTATTTTGAGCTGCATCAAAAACAATGTCGAAATATATTTATTATCTAGTTTGTGACGGCCAAGGCCAATTTTCAATCTCCACTGAAAACGTGACGAAACGCTTTCACGTCCCTTAATGCTATACTTTTTACTATCTTGTTTACAATAAGGCCCAATAAAAATAATTATTAGTTAATCACCCTCTCTGGGCTGGAAAAATGATGAGGGAGGGAGGCTTTTTATTTTTATTTATATCACCCTTTGTTGTTTGCTGGTGCATTAATATTTAAAGTAAAATACATGATTGAGATAATAAGCAATTAGTAGAGCTCCGCATAGTACACTATAGGAAAATTATTGTACGAATACGAAGGTTAGATTTAATGCTTGAACAAATTTTCTGAGGGCCTGCAAGCCCTGAAGGAAATTTTTGAATGCATTAAATCTAACCTAAGTATAATAATTTCCCGTTTAGTGTACGATGCATGCTCTACTAATTGCTTTATAAGTCAATCGCCGTCTTTTAAAGCCCCATTCCCGGCAAAATTTCAATTTTTAAGAAAAATCTAATTTTTGTATAATGTTATAAAGATTTATAAATATAATACGGAATTGCTAGTTTAACTGAATTTAGACATTCCTATGTGTTCCACACAAAAAATAAATGCGGATGAATTTTTCATGTTGATTTTGCGATAGGTCGTGAGAAGAAATATCGTAGGCGCCGAAAACATTAG